ACACAAGCATGGAATCGAAATGGATATAGAGATTCATTATAATGGGTCTAAAATTCTCTAAATTCTTATTTTAAGCCCTTCATTTATATGTGTGTTTCTGTTCTGAACCCCTACTTTCTTAAAATCATTATTTCAACCTCTTATCTTTCTAGGATAATAATCATTGAGCTCAGCTTCGCCTTCATATAAAAGATCTGAAACTTCCGTCCCGGTGCGGTGCGTGACAGCTCGACTCTTTCTCCTCCGATTCACGGTGGTTCGGCGACTACGAAGTTCTCACTCACGATACGACCTCCGCGAAATTTAAGATTTAATAAAAAATCGTAGAAATTTCCCGGTAAGCAATTCGATGTTATATAGATCAATTCAGAGTCGCATTGATTGGGGATATATATATATATCTGTTGCTGAATCTCTCCGATCTTCCCTGATCCTGGATATTTCATAGTTTTAGCTATGTGGCTGATTATGCCAAAGAAAGGCTACAATTTTTGATCCAATCAATTCACTTGGCTATAGATGTATGCATAAACATCTCTTGTTGTTGCTTGTAGCTACTTGGATCTTTGTTGCATCTTTGTATGTAACATTCTCTGGAAGTGATCTGTAATTGGAATATCATTATTTGGCTTTGATTAGCTTTTGAATTTTGATAGCAATCAGGTCAATGGCGTCTTCGTCTGATACATGGATGAAAGAGTACAACGAGGCACTAAAACTCTCAGAGGATATCAATGGAATGATATTAGAAAGAAATAAAGAGGCTGTAACAGGACCTGATGCACAACGTCGTGCTTCAGCTATACGAAGAAAGATCACCATTTTCGGAACCCGATTAGATAGTCTGCAGTCTCTTCTTGCTAAAATTCATGGAAAACCTATGTAAGTGATCAAGTCTAATCCTGATTGCTTACGACACTTTTATATTTAGTTTTGATCTTGACCTGTGAATGAATCTTTTTCTTTCCATCTGGACATTTACTTACCCAACAACAGTTCAGAGAAAGAGATGAACAGGCGCAAGGATATGGTAGGGAATTTGAGATCGAAGGCAAACCAGATGGCGACTGCTTTGAACATGTCAAACTTTGCTAATAGAGATAGCTTGCTTGGGCCAGAATCAAAGCCGGATGATGCCATGAGCAGAGTTACTGGCATGGATAACCAAGGAATTGTTGGTTTTCAACGACAAGTTATGAGAGGTATGCCCTTTTTATCCTAGTAAACACAGATGCAGATGTTGACTTCTGTTCTAGTTTCTCGATTGATTATGTTTTTTTTATTCTGCGAGTAGAACAAGACGAAGGACTCGAGAAGTTGGAGGAAACAGTCATGAGTACAAAACACATTGCTCTAGCTGTCAATGAAGAGCTTAGCTTGCAGACAAGGCTTATCGTACGTCATAGGGTTTATATTACTTTTTACTGACTTGATTTGGATCTCATTATAGTAACATTTATGGGTTGTATGCAGGATGACTTAGACTACCATGTGGATGTCACTGACTCTCGCTTACAGGTAATATATCCTTCACCTCTTAAATATTTCAAGACATTGCTTTGGTGGCTCAAGTTGGTCCATGCATGAAGTGAATTGATTTCATCAAATGTTATACCGATCTGTTTTGGATTTGCTCAACCATAAACAACATTACACTAAGCTAATGACTAATTCAATGCATTGATCTATTCTGCTTGTGGTTCTTATTACAGAGAGTCCAGAAGAACCTTGCTGTCATGAACAGGAATATGAGAAGTGGTTGTTC